ATTTCACTGGTAAAGTCTATTGGGTGTAAATGGAAAACTAAACTGTTCATATATAAGAAATACCCATTTTCTTCAAGCTGAAAAATTCTAAAATCAAGACAATATGTCTAAAGGAGTTTGACTTCAACTTTCGAAAAAAAGGTTAATCTAAACAGGAACCAGTTCTGAAACAATACTTCTTGTTTAGAAGAATAAAGGTGTATCTTAAACATGTTTACATGGTTGCGCAACTGAGTCGCAATACGACGCATTCTACCAGTGACTATAACATGTGCTCTGTGTAACGTAACTCAAATTGTGAGTCTCTAAACAGGAGGTCAACAATCCAATATAACACTCGAATGCAGCATGGATGGAGTTAGTCAAAAATTGATAGAGAACCTTGAACAAGATCATTTAAATTTAGAAATTCTGATAACGGTTGACCGTAATCACTGACATGACCAACACTGTTTGATCAGAAAGACTGCATTTCCTTTGTAACTTTTTAAATTGTAGACATTACCATACAAATGTATCTATCAACTTAACACAATGCAGCATCAAGGTAGCAAATCATGATCATCTTTGAGCACAAATAAGAGTCTTCATTGCATGTTACTCACTTCTTTGTTTCGGATAAAATACCATATTCCTTTTCTTCTGAAAAACGTCTGAGTGTATGATAACATAATTTTAAAGCCCATCTATCACCATGACACATTATTTTATTCTATCAGTCATTATGTTCAGTCAATCCTGATGACAGTTCACCATAAGTTCTGACTCGACTAGTAGTGTTTTATTAGAAAGCATGTATAGGGTTAATGTAGTTCTTTGGTACACCTTTCAGAGGCAGACGCTCCAATAGAACCACACGATGGACAGATTCACTTGTTGCCTTATTGTCAATAAATACAACTATTGTGCTTGAAACAAGAGGACTTTTGTCCTTTCTTATATAGTGGGACAATCAGCAATTAAGACCGGTCGAATGAGATTACGTCCGGTTCCAAAATTTACCAGTCAAACTGCTAAAACTGGACCCCTATCCTTAAAAATTTCAGTGGTCAATCTATCAGCACCCGCCGCAGATTTACTATAGCTTTCATAAAGAGTCGGAGGACTTACATCGATTTACATTCAGGATGACTTGAGATCGTGGGCAACCGGAGTGTCGCCGAAGGACAATCGAACTGTCCCTCAAAGTGTTCTGCCCATCTATCCGATCTCCTGGATTGAGAATGCATAATAAGCCCAGCCTTATCTGAGAGGGTCACTTACAGTCCGATTCATAATACCGGTTTCTTTGATATGCCTAAACAGTCATCTACTGTTGCCAATCGCCACCACTGTTCGCGATCATGGAGTAGGCTTCTTGTTTTCAAAGACTTATCAGTTCGGTAGATGCTACTGAAATCCGCTGTTTCTGCCTAACCTTATGATTTACCTCACTAACAGATATCACTGTTGTTTCCACATCTTTTTGGATATCATTCCAAGCTGCCTGAGGATGGGCACCACTTACATCGTCGGCTAACTTTTTTTCTAATTGTCCCTGAAATATCTCTTCAGCTATGCTCTCATTAAGTAGAACCCTAATAGGCCTTCTTGCGGTGTCCTTCCTACGTCCAGTAAGCCTCAAACAAATATGCGCTCATACCAGAACGTGATCTAAATCTAGACAAGAGCTCCAGAATGAACGGCAGTCTTCAATAGAACCTCTACACCGAAGGCTGTTAGCAATGTGATCGGCTTTGAGGGTTGTCAGGTCAAGAAATGTTTTCCCTTATGCTTAAAGTTAGTATTTGCTAGAAATAGGCGTCTTTCCTTTTCACTTAGTCGACCTACTTGAGCACTGAAGTCACCAGCCTATATTACTATATCAGGTTTCTGTAAAACTCATGTTTTATCACGTCTGAGCTGCAGTCAATAGGAGAGTAGGCAGCGAGTTTCCCTATTTTTAAGAGTTCTTACTGACCCGTTTAGTCAGATAGCGCACAAGTGACTATATACTGTGGTGCAGTCCAAGAGAGCTAGTCCTGCCCTACGACTTAACACCATACCAACACCAGCGAGACCCCAGGAAGCAGCGGGAGAGCTTCCGGATACACGAGGCGTAAACCGAGTTTATTCTATATCTGGACAAGCTGAAATCAAATTAGTGATTTTACTATGATCAGGTGTGCGCGTTTCGGAGACGCAACTTAAATCGATGATACGGGATTCCAGAGTTCTAGCTAATGGAGCCTGTTGCCCTATTTGACACACTAAAAGCTCCTATGGTGTGTTTTTGATAATCCGTATCGTTAACACACCATCATAAATGAAAATTAACCTAGTTTGGTGAGTACAGAGTGTAAATGAAAACAGTGTGTACATAAATATATATCACAAGTTTTACAATGATGATTAGTTTCAATGCCAAAGCAAATTTTGCACATCACGAATAAGTTTATTAAATAATAATAAATTACAATGACAATGATGATGATGATTTATAATAGTAAATAAAAGTTGTGTTGCTTTTTTTTGCAGAGAAATATTAAACAACTTATTGACAGACAGATCAAGAAACAACATGAATAAAAATTTTCGACTATACAAAATCGATGCGAATCAAATAACGCGCACCACACACACACACACGTACATACATTGAAGCATCACAGATATGATCGTTTTGTATGAGTATTATTTCTCTTTAATGACAGTAGCAGCACATAGGTAGTTAGTTAGTTTTAGTGTGTGTGTCATCTGTGGCCAGAACAATAATAATGCATGTTAAAATCATCTTCAGTTAAACATTATTTGCTGTTCAGTCAGTATTTAAATCAGCCAATGACAAATAATAATCAATAAACTCTGGGTTAAATTGTTGTTCTGTAACGTTGATATACTTAAACGAAGTAAGAAGGAGTTGATACACAAATGTTGTTATATTATTCATGTGGTGAACTGATAAAAATCAATCAATCATTAACAAGTTTGAAAAAGTGACAACAGAGAGAAAGAGAACAAGGGGGAGAATAGGTGAGATTGATCTTGGATTTATTTAGAATGAACAATGACGATCGGATCAGTAGTAGTAGTAAGTAGTACATAAAAGATCACACAATGTACACAATCTAAGCAGATAAGAAAAGGGGCTAGGCTAGATAGTATATAGTTACATCAGCAACATCATCATTCAGCTTAGATCGTAAGTGATGCATCACAGAACATGAAGTAAAAAATAAAAAATAACATAAAAAATAACAAAAGTTAATTAAACAAATGAATGATTATTACTTTTTTAAAACAAAACAAAAAAAAAACTTGTGAAAATCTAGTTGGTTTGTTATTTTTGTGAAAGAGAGAATAATCCATTATTGTAAATAAAATTGTGTATATATGTATGTGCATAGATAGATCGATTCACTGACACAAAGAATCTCATTCATACAAAGTGGATTACTTTTTTTTTCCTTTATTGCAATTTTGAATAGATTGATGGTCTAAATCGATAATGAATAAATTTCAATATCAATATTGGTATACAACTGACACCAGTGATTGCTAGAACTTTCCATACAAATCCAATTGTACGTAAAAATACCGAATCTATTTTGTGAAGTAATGGAAAACAAAAACACAATAAGAAGTGCACGGATTGAAACATTGGGAACAATGAAAAGGACAAACAAAAAAGATTCAGTCTTATTGTATATAGTTAAGCTAAAATACAAAGGAACATTTTCAGGTGATTACAAACAGCCAGTAGGATACTTTCAATCGGAACTAATCGATGAATGGGATAGAAACTAATGTTATATTTGTATTCAAGAGCCGGCTGAGTTTCTTCAATCAATCAATAAAGTTATAAATCAGTTCTCGAATGCCCTGGTACGACCGAGAGTGAAGAGAGTCTGCTCTTTCTCTCTCTGTCCAAACCTTCTCCGGAAGTCCAACTCACTGCCTCCTAGGAATAGGGATGTTCTTTATAAAATTCAAGGAAACTAAGGAGTAGGAAAACTCTGATTCCAAATCAATCATGCATATCGACTTCACTGTCTTGAGAGAACAAATGGAACATCAACCTATTTTCGGTCTTCACCGTCTATCTATCATGTAACAACTATATCTGATATAATGAGATAATCATAAGTAGGAGCCTAATCAAAAGACCATTCAATGACCATAAGAAAATGTCCTAAAGGATGAACATATCACAAGTCAAGAAAATGCCGCTTTTACCAAGGTGGTATATACATATATATACTACGAGTATTAATCAGTATCCAAATAAGCTCTCTCGCTGAAGTAATCAGTTTGGGTAGCTAGCATGTATCACGTTCAGATCTAGAACACCTTACACCTTGTGACAGTTTCTATTAAGGTTGCTGCTCTCTTGTCTTTTGGATCAGATTTTTAGTGTAAAAGGGTTGGAGAGTGTCTAATTCGGTTGGGGGGGGGGGATAAATTTAATGGTTTGTATAAAGCATATATATTTTTAGACGTCCTCTGGTATCAATGTTTGTGATCAAACGCACAATGATAATAAAAGTTAGAACACACGATTAACCATAATACAAATAAACAAACTTATTGTACGACTGCTTAGAATCAAATTAATCAATCAGATCGATTGACTACAGTATTGATTACAACATAAATGCTTCTAGCACATATGTTTTCATAAAGCAAATAATCCAGTCAAAATGAATGCATCATAGTACTTTAAGGTAAACCTAGTGGTTTAGTCTCTAGTTAGTGTAATGAACGAAAATATCAACATAACAGGCGAACTGTATTGGTAGCTTCTATCAAATCAACAAAAACAAGATTGAAGTTAGTCTGGTAGGCATCGTGCTAGATTAGTCATGTGAAGAATATATTATTCAAAAAGTATAATTCATTGAGATAAGTTTAGAAAGAGAAAGGTAGAATTTCATAGAACACAACGAGTGGATGAGCCTGCGCCACTGCAAACGATTCTGAGCCATGTCATCCAAGATCACTAACCATCGATCACTACCGTCTCGCAGACCTATATTCCGATAGTGGTTACTTCCTTGACGTGGTGGTCGGGCTTGCCTATCGTGAAGATCCAACAGAGCTACACTGGCTAGAACATATATTTCTATAGGTTCTACCGTGCAAGGAAGGTCGATTATAGAACCATAACTAATAGCAGCAACTTAAGGGTCTGAGGGCGAAGTCGTACTACTGACTGTAAGGTGTTTCCCTCGGACAACCAGCATATGCAGCCAAGGGTTAGAAAAGGTCAACCCTAAAGATGTCACACCACACCTTACTTCGTGGATTTCCGTCTCAGGCGGTAAGGCCTTTTAAAAATAAGAGCAGAGCTAACAATTTAAAAACTTCTCATAAAAAGGCCGTGCGTGACCGGCCTCAAGCAGTTGTCCCTTCGGCTCTGCGGTCCCCCTGCCATGTCTTTAAGACCAACGCCAATCTATCTTCCTTTACAAGTTGTTCAAGAAACATCCTTTCACGGTGTGGGCTGTCACGGAGTGACATCCACTATCATACTCGTAACAACACACGAGATCAAATTTTGAAGAATCCATACGAAACGAATTTCAACTACATGATCTTAAGTCACTTGTTTTAATCACTAGGCCACTTACATCCGCATGAACTTATGTTGCAATCTCGCCGCATAAAACCACCTAGTTATTGTATAAACGTAGCCATAAAGTCATCATGTGAAGTGCAGTGATTATGTTTAGATGTGATGGTTGAATGATTAAACTATATATAACTTGTAGACCATTAAAGTAACAAGTTTGAAACCTGAAACCGAATAAAATCATTAACTTTCAAACTGAAAGTAGGGTTGGTATAAAAGCACACGAATAAATTTACTTGGTACATTACGTTAATCATAATAATCAAATATAACTTGAAATCACACTGAGATTAAAAGCAGTATAGGGAAGAGTTCAAATGATTTCTAAGAAAATTGATCTTCCGAAATGACAACCACATATTTTGGGGCACAGTTTTGGAGGTTTGCGTTTTTACACATTTGAAATCATTAACCATACTAGGACGAAACGGCCGTCCAGTGCTTCCAGGTTTCTAATGGTGGTCTAACAATGATGATTGATTAATGATTTCAAATGTGTAAAAACCACATATTTATCTTAATAGATACACAGATGCAGATGCAGATGTAATGGAATGATAGATAAAATGTCAAACACTTACCAAAATATGCTTTCATAACAATCAAGGCCATAATATAAATGGCTAAACTGATTACTTCAGCTAAAATCATTAATAAATGCCATGTACGTATAGTAATGGCTACCATTAATAATTCAGTTAATAATAAAGCAGTGAATGTGATAGCTACAACATGAATAAATTCATCTTCAAATAGTAACAATGCACCATACATGATGACACCGCCTAAACAAATAAACAAATTAAATAAATCGATAAGTGAACAAGATGATGATGATGATGATTAATTATTTGATGAGTATACGAGCGAGAAAAAACCACTACACTAATTGGATTGGTTAATACACACAATTGGAGGCATTTACTACACATATATTGCAGTGTCTACTTCAATGCCTCAATCAGTGTGTGATGATTATTATTAGGTCATTTTGACCAACAACATCTAATGAACTTGATTCTTATCATAGGAAATTGTGACCTTCAGCATACAAACAAGTCTTAATATTCATGTCCTTATAGCTCGACATGTATGCGCCTTGTATGTATGCATATTATCTACCCTCAGCTGTACTAAAGGCTTGTGTATTGGGTAGGATAGAGAAATTTGTACACCTGCCTTCGCTTTGTTTCCCTACTTTCCCTACATTTGTAATGTTTGTCTGTACAAATGTTTGCATGAAATAAAACTCATCCAAATGAACCTGTATTGGACTTTTTTATTACACATTGCTGTCGTACAAACCGGATAGGGAATTAAACGGAAAATTTGTTTTCATAGCATAGTTTTTAATCGTTTGCCCGAATCGCAGTCAGATAACAAGACAACTGAAACATTTTCACTTAAATTAGGTTTAGTAATATGGGCTAACGAGTAAATGTTCCCGGCTCCTCTATGCTGATATTTGCATGTTTTATCGTCCAAGTTAAATCATACATTTGGGGAATTTCCAAATTACATTTTTTTTCCTACTTCCAACATTGATAGATGAAAAGATCTAGATTAATACGTACTTTGAAATACAATAATATAGAAAGTTATCAGAGAAACTCTTAAGGCCTTCAACCTAATACATTTTAGATTAAAATGAAGTAAGTTTTTCATAAACGTTTGAGTTGCTGGAACGAGAAAATGAAGCAATATTTAAATCAATATCGATAACTTTACAGTACGTACGTGTTTACTGAAAGACCAGATGAAGTGTTGATATATTTGCAGAAGATATAGTTGATAAACAAACTTTGTATACTTAATCCTTAGACGTCTATTTGCAACACAAACAGATTATTTACTGACTTCTTTTACATATGTCTCCTAGTCTACAAAATACTTTGATCTTGACGTGCGTTCCGATCGCATACTCTTCTGTCCTGCAGTAACTTCTGGGAGACACGTAGTTGCATTCTACTTAAAATGCCACGTTGCCAGTAGTATCTGTTACACTTGTAAAACATTAATGGGACGTTCTAAAAAACGATCTACTTTAGATTGTGTATAAATAATCTAATTGAAAGGTGTACAATTCAAGAATTCGAGATATACTCAACAGTCAAGAGCACAGATAGATTCTTCCTCCTAAATAACCACGGACATGTTCTTCTGAGTAGCACAACACACCAAAATATATCCAGCTATTCAATTCATTAGGAATTATTAATGAGTTTTATACAAGATACTGTCAGTGTATTCAAATACTAACCTTGATAAACACTTATCAATTGCCAAATGAAATAAGTTTTAAAAGTTAATTCACGACCTTTCAGTAAGGTTTTATATAATTCAGGATAGGTTATAGCAATACGATCTGGTACATCTTTATCAAGTACCAATGAGAACACAGGAAACATAGTGAATACTGTAGCATAACCAACGTATAGAAAACTTGGGAATAATGGTATTGCAACAAAATAGAAAACAGCGGAAAATATCGCTTGCATAACAGTGATTATAGAACCTGGAATGTAAAAGAACAATGTTATGAGTGAAACAAATTGTAAATTTTAAAATAAAATTAAAATATTCTACAAAAAAACCATTTTCACCGATGAAATAGAACGTGGTGGTCAGTCTCTAACATAAAGTGTCGGAGGATGAGCTGCTTATCATCATCGTGCTGAGATCTGACTGATCCTCAGCCCAATTCTATTGCAGGTATGCAAACACCAACGAGGATATCTGAAGTTACAATCGACACAACTGTGTCCTGTACTAACTGAAATTCATTTGTTCCCCCTTATTGACGTGTCTATGGTAAAAGTTAGTGTTAGATTATTACTCATATTACTTAGTTAAATTAAGTAGTGCAAGAGATAAGTGAGTTTTCCAAGTGTTTATTTCAATGTAAGAACTGAGTCAACTTTGTTTGGAGATCCAAATAGACCAATTATAACTGAGGATAAGCAGCTAGAAAAGCAAACCGATTACATAATTGTAGGTAATTTAATTTTGAAAAAGAAATCTTAGTCAATGTAGGGAGAAAAAGTAAAAGAATAGCATGGAAGCTGGTAGTTGAAACTAGTCAAGGAAAAGATGTAAAGTTGGTTTCAACGAAAAACAGTGTTAATCAAACTGAATTTATCAGTTATTAATGAAATCCTATGCTCCTCATCTTCATTCGAAGCTAGATAGTATTAGGTAAACCATAAAACATATAGTATCACTCAATCTCGTCTTTGTAACGTATTGCTTAGTTAAAAGGTCATCTCTTTGCTTATTTATCAGTGTTAGGAGATAACAGCCATTGAAAAACAGTATAAAAATAGACAGGTACAGAAGCCTATTGTCTAAGTGTATCGCACTCATATCATTCTCATATGACAAAACTCTAGAAACCATATTTTGCCCAAAAAAGCCTATAATCAAACCCACTATTAAATCATAATATAACTTACCTCGGTGAATAACAAACAATGTCAATACAGCGGTATTCTTGTAACAATTTCTTCCATGAACAAGTAACAATTGAGTGACATGTTTAAATTGTGCTAAACTGAAATCCGACGCTAAACTAGCCTGTCGACCTTCTTTACCTAATAGACCAAGACCAAGATCCGATGCTTGAATCATGCCCACATCATTGCCTCCATCACCGATAGCTGCTACTCTGGCTTTTGTATGATATCGTAACAAAGTGACAATTTGTGTTTTTTGTGTCGGTGAACAACGGCATACAACAACAGCCGGTGATTGTCTAGCCAATTCAACAAATTCATGTTCATAAAATCTTAAACATGTCTTGATATACAGACAAACAAACAAATATAAAAAGAAAATATTAATAATTATTATACAGGTGAATTTATGATATGTTGTATATGTGCATATATGTACGTATGTATGTATGTAAATCAAATAGACGACACATTATATTGAAGAGAAAATGCAGTACATGGTTTCATATCCAAAGGTGTATATACATATATATACAAGCTACAGTATTATGTAACAACAATTGTTATGATTAAATAAAAAAGGAGTCATGATCAAAAGTTATAGTAATATTTTCTCCTTTATTTTTCAATAACATTGTAACGGAGTCAAAATCACCAAGTATGATGTTGCTAACCCGTTCTGTTTTCTTTCTATTTCAGGGCGATCAAACATAAACGCTTTGGAGGCTGAAGAACAAGCCCTGAGTGCTCTGAACTTACAAGATGACTCATAAGACTTTGGTACACTACCCACCCTATTTCTGTAGAAACCCCGCGTATTTTAATTTTCAAATAAAAGAGTGCCTTGGCTACCAATTTGTGTTCTCTCTCGGTGTGAAGTGTTGAGCTAACTCTGTGTGTTGCAATTTTAGATCTGATCCGTTGTTCGGTGACTCCTGTTAACACGTGTTACAACACTAATGTAATACTAAAATCGCTGATTATTCAACATTTTAAAACTTATTCAGTGAAAACTAACCCTAATCAAACTCGATTAACTACTACTACTAAGTGTTCTCTTTTTGAATCCCTAATTTAATGTTTGGTTATACACTTCGAACTGATAGTGATTTTTCTTGCAATTGCAATTATGTCACACCATTAACCACTAACCAGATATTAAGCTTTAAATAATAATACATTACCGTTTGAAAATCAGTTTAATGTTTTATTCAGCTTGAATAAGGCGTATCATGTGTGGTATTGGAGTAATTTGGCGTGCTCTTTTTTTAAAAAACACATAAAATGGTCAAACGATATGGTTTCATTGATTTAGATAGTCAACGGTTAGGTTCATAATCAGAACGCCTGTCGACCGCTTCAATTGTCTCGGGAGTCTCATCAGCGCTGATAGTTTGTCGTGTGACGAGACCTCAGCACGGATACAGAAAGCTCGACTGGCTTTTGCCAATTCATTCATGGTGTAGGCGGGATATCCGTTTACAAACAAAAGGATAAGTCTACTACGCAGCAGTCGCATCGCTCATGGAGTGAGCAAGATATCTGTTTGCGCAGCAATTCACTCCGTTCTACTATATGGCTGTGAAATATGGTCGGCAAGAGTTGAAGATATTTGTAGGTTATCAGTATTCAATCATGGGTGTCCCTGATGCATTGTTCGTGTATCCTGGGACAACCGAGTAAGCAATGCTGTTGTTATGAAACGAGTTCTAGGTAGGGATGGCAAATCAATAGATGAAGTATTGAAACTTCATCAGTTGAGGTGGTTGGGACATGTGTTACGAATGCTCAACCACCGACTGCATCGATGAGCTGTGTTTTGTAGTGTAGGAGTAGTTTGGAAGAAATCTAAGGGTGGCCAAACTAAAACATGTCACAAATTCATGGAGTCACTGATAAGTGGACTGAGTCATGTTGGTAGGTTCGGACTAACAGGTTGGGGTCCACGAGATTATAGAAACCGATGGTTAGAGACCTTGAATGACTTGGCTCAAAATCGTTTGCAATGACGCAGTGCATTCAGTATTTGTGTTCTATGATGTTCTAATCTTCTGAATTCATCATCACCTCTACCTTTCTCTTTCTAAAGTTATCTCAGTGAATTATACTTCTTGAATAATAAATATCTTCGAACTCTAATCTTCTCCACTACCGCTAATAATTCTACTCTCCCTACCACTATTGAATTTGAACTGACAGTTGCGACTCTGTGTGCTAATGTGGTATGGCAACCTGAACTGATGTACTTACGTACCATGTTCTACATTGTAACTGACTGATAATCAGAACAGCTTTCTACTATCGAGTTACTAACTTGCGTTCATGTTGTTATAGTGATTGTTTATAACTGTTTTGGTTAATTAAAAAACTAGATTAGAATAGTTTGACTTACAAACAAACAAAAGATTAAGTTTACAAAAATAAGATTTTGTGAAAACAAATTTGTCACACAAATTACTTACTTCCATTGATGTTCCAGTTATCAATAAGGCATGATCACAACGCTTACGAAAAGCATTCAATTCTAAATGAGCTTCCATTCGACCATTCACTGATTTAAACATATACATTGGTGTATCACGACCAACTAAACGCGAGGATTTAGCAATACATGCAGCTGTTTCAAGTTTATCCCCAGTCAACATCCAAACACGTATACCGGCATTTCTTAAAGCTTCTAATGCAGGCCGAACCTAAATTACATTTTATTTTTCAAGATGAAAAACAAGACTCATTACAATTCTTTTGTGAATAACATAATGAGTCATCTGAAACATAGAAACCTGTCACATATGTGCATCCGTTTAATTTTTCATACTAGATTAGTATACCGACATAAAATTATTTCACGAGAAATCTCAGATGAGAAGTAATAATAGCAAAAGTGTATTGCAAGGCGAAAGTTTACGAAACACACAGTAAAGTGAATTAACAGAATTAATCAGAAATAATCACTAAGTCAAACAAACAATTCATATATTTAGGCATTATATTTGTAATACAACACTTCTGTCTAACAGCCTAACTTTCCAAACACAAGATCAACGTTTAGAGGTCTGTCTCATCACATTTTGATTTGAAATGTTCTATAATACGGATGTTACTAATCATTGATCAAGGGAACAGTGACTAGATCTTTAAGTTGAAATCGACTCGATGGAACAGTGTTAGTTAATTCAGGTAGATATTTGTTTGGATCCTACTGCAGAGGATAAAATGTTTACATCATAAGTAAGTGACATGGGTGAATGCAGTGCACTCGTTCGTCAGAAATCGATTATTTTGTAAGCTACTCTTGAATTCACAGAGAAAATGACTCTTAGACTATTATACTCTCATCAAAGTATTCAGATGTTGAGTTGACATAGTAAAGCAACTGTTTAATTGAGTTAAATTTTGTGTACTTAGTCTCCAGTCGGATTGAATTCGAAGGTGAAAAAAAAATATTATTAAAGCGAAATTTGGAAGAAATGAGAATTTACATTGTTGTCCAACAATAAGAAGGTGAATTTCTAAACAACTGATAGGAAGTTTCAGTTGAAAATCCGATATACATAAGTACAATAGTGAGTCATAAACTTTCGAGGTACAATTTTTTTCAGATAATACACGGAGTAAATAAATGTTACAGCTGTAAACTAGTGCTTCTTTAATAATGGACTATAAAAAGTGTAGGCTTATATCATTATTAATGTTGTGGTGTGAGCTACTTATAAGTAGTATATGACATGAGTGTCAACGTAATGTCCGGCAGCGGAAGATGGGGGAAGATCAAGGAAGGAAGAGAGTGGGAACACAATGGAATTTGTATGAAACGCATGAATAGTAGTGACAATCGATTGATGTTGTTTGCAACAGGAACAGTCCAGTTCGATATGATGGACTGATAGTTTGCAAATGAACGATTTACGATATGGTTTTCCGATTTTACTGAGTAACTCTGTAATTTTCGCTAAATACAGTCCGGTTGCCCCACCTGTGTTCTCGTTCACTACAATGTCACCCGTCTACTTTAAAAAGAAGCCTTTCTATTAAAAGTTTTATATACCAAGGAATGAAGACAAATCAATTAGATTCTTTACAAGTGAATAAAATCAACAACACCAAAACTTATGATTTATTAGCCTGGTTGATTACTCTTTCAGATTTAGAAATAGTCAAGTTGAGTTAGTCTTTAATGGAACAGCTCTAACTAAACAGTTCCAAGTGAAAATTGTTTCTTTGAGTATACTAACCCATCCACTATAACCAGCTCAACACACATTGATGGCTGGTTTAGTAGGTAGGAAAAAAGGTAGAGCAGTCAAGTCAAGACACCACATGTTTACCTAAATCAATTGTTATACACTTCAAATCATGACAAAGCTCAAAATCGGTTGCAATAGTGCCGATGCATTAACTCTTTGTCCTTCCTTAAATTCTAAGTTTCGAAATTCCTCACAAAATCTCGTTTTTACTTTATTAAGTTACATTTTCGTCTCACGTTGTATTTTTTGCGACTAATCTTTTCTACTAATACTCTTCATGTTACTACCTCTATTACTGAGAAATTTGCACAAACAATTTCACCACGCTGTGAAAATAGGGTGTGGCGATTCAGGCATATGTACGCGCATGTGACAGATTATATGTTGCGCAGGATTGACTGTATATTTATTAAACTATCATAACGAGTGACATGAGAATAGAAAACAACTTTATGCCATGTATGAAGTCTGCTTAGTCTTAACTCCATGGTTGTAAAACTTGCAGTCACCTGACCAGGAGTTCACATTCACTACACTATAGTTTCAAGATAATTTATATATATATATATATATATATATATATATATATATATATATAATGAAACCTTTGGCATGAATAATTTTCTTCTTGTCAACTTACTCCATCTTGAAGTTTGTCTTCTACACCAGTTAAACAAAGGACTTCTAAATTTGTTTCTAAAGTTGCTACAACTGACTGCATTTTTTCCACACGACCGGTTAAGGACATTTTAGCGTTATGATATCTACATGTCGAAAATAATAAAAGAAAAACAATTCGGAAATAAATTACAATTTAGAGAATAAAAGTTCATATTCAGCAAAAGAGTAATAATTACATTTCGAATGAATGATAAATGATTATGCTGATTGGATAATGAAACTTCTTACATCAACCAACTCACAATAAACATATCTATGACTGTGTTAAATAACCAACAGATATGAGATTAAAGATGGAACAATCAACAATGAACTGAAGCAGCATTCTACCAAGAACAACTAGAATATAGTGTGAAAACTTTCATCTATGTATCTAGACAACATTCTGAGCTAAACGGTTCTCGGATATACACATACTGAACATCATTTGTGAAGCGATAATCGAAGGAATTTGCAATGCTCCACTGCAATCTTGACAAAAAATATCTGAGGTGTAGCACACATGAATAGCAACAGACTCAACATTCTAAACAGCTCTGCCACGGTAGAGTGTAGCAACAAGTGGCTTCCACGTACTGTCATACTAGTTTCCCATCAGATTAGACAAATGGATGTCACAAAGTTATAAGAAGCCAACTTATAACCTATTTGAATATCCGCCATGAAGAAATAGTTTGATTTGCATTACACTTTGTAACTTCAACCACTGCTGATTTATGTTTATGAATAATGCGATAACCAGTGTAGTAGGTAGCTCATTCTGATATTAAGTAGCTGGCAACCAATCCAAGTTCATATATTCCAATCACTCCATTAAGAATCTGAGAATGTTATAATAGTTTGTAATTGAGCTTTTCCAATCACTCTACATATGGGTTAACCCAGTTTAACTTGACAATTACTGGTTTTGGATGTCACAATGTCATTGAGAAATATTGTTCTTTTTATTTACAATGCTTCTGCTGGTAATGAGAAAACTGAGGCAGGCGCTGAAGATTGTACTATGCAAATTTACACTCTTAGTCAATTAAAAACGAAAACATTACATTGAACACTCTATTTGCACACCATCTTTGAGTCCTGACTTCCAACACTCCATCCTTCTTCCATTCCTGCTGTTGCTCCATTTGCTTTCGGTTTTCCTCTTCTGACCGTGAGATTTCTTCTTTCACGTCCCTTCTTATACTACTTATATCGTTCGTATAAGTAGCACACACCACACTCGTCCCCCCTTTAACAAGTCGCTCTCTCAGTCTTTCTGATCGCCGTACAGCCGTCTTCTGTATCAGTGTTTGCGGCTCGCCCTCTCGGCGCACTTGGAACCACCTTTGGAGTTCACTGGCATTCACGCGTTTCTGTTTGTTTCCTTTCTCAATCGTATACACTGCGCCGCATCTCTCGGTGACTACGTACGGTCCCTCCCACTTCGGGATCAGCTTACCTGACTCTGGCCCTCTTCCTGTGGTATATTTCCGTTCTCTACAGTAATACTATGGTACACTTGATTGCTTTCATGTCAGTGAACAATATTTTGTGTATACCTAAAAATCATTATTATTATTATTATTTGCCTAAATGAACTGTTTTTTGATAAATACAGAATACACAACTGTAGTACAAGGAGGTAAAATAATAGACAAATATATATGCAACGCCACAAAAAGGATGAAACAAGGCACAGTTAAAAAAAGCAATCAACACTAAGATATATATATATATATATTTACTTACAATTTAGCAAACTCTGAATATTGTTCTTCAGTTAATGTACGCGATGCAACAACCAAAGTTCTTAATCCTTCTCTAGCTAAATTTCCAGCTTCATCTTCTAACCAATCAACATAGGATACCAGATTAGCCATAACAGTGTCTGCACCTTTAACATAGAATATAATTTTTTTCGATGAATAATCCCTGACAATAATACCCATTCGTTTAGATTCCGATGAAAATGGGAATAAATTTAATATTTCATATTCAACAATAGTGTCTGCAAAAAAGAATAAAGAATAAAGAATAGAAAATGTAAGTAAAAAGATAAAATAAGTGGAAATAATTACAGCTAGATAGTTGAAACAAAAATAATTATTTTTAATATAAACGGAAAAAAAACCCCGAACATACCATTAGGTAGACGTAAACGCATTCTGTGTAAATCACGAAATACAAGTGTTACACCGACAGTTGCAGTCCATGAGACAAGAGCTATTTCATCCGGTGAACTAGCCTGATAACCAACTGGATCGGATAATTCCACCTATAACATAATGAATAGATTCATGGATATACATACATTTATATATATGATAACATGATAGTCAATTTCTACAATTGTAAATATTGTGACAAGTTTAACTGGTTTATGAGGCTTCGAGTATCAAATTTTTAAAGCTGAACTAAAGACTGTACCAAACACAAACAACCAATGTCGAAAAATCTATATCTCTAAAAAGATCAAGCTCGTGAAGTAAAAAAACCCTTTAATGAGTTTGTATGAAATAATTTACAATATGAAAAAGTGAGAAATCACCTAACTAATTTATAGCATAAGTGGTAGATGAAATTTCAAATATACGTAGAGAATAAAATGGTAGATGTGAAATAATTCACATCCATTAGTGTATAGAGGATCCATCGGTCCCACGATCCTGCGAGGACAAATGGTGTATTATCCCTATTGTTGGTCACCGCCCTACTGTCTTGTGGATTAAACTTCTTAGTCAATGGTTCGAGTAATGAGCACCAAGGCAGTATTCTAGCCCATACATAAATCCATTGATTCGTGTGGTGCATACATACTAAGTGCTCCCTTTGTACTAATAACCATGTATTTAAGCATATAATAAGATTCACATCCAGCAACATTATACTTATGATGACACGTTTGGTTTACTTTCACGAGGAATATATATTCATCCCAGTACGAACATTCATGAAAAATATTCACAATCCAATGTCCGCCAGAATAATTTTATTTATTCAGCTTTGAGCTGTGCACATTTTATGTGCGAGCTAGTAGGGTTGTTGCTTAGAGTTTAAATGTTTAAATGTCAAATATTTCAATCATTAAGACAATCCCTTATAAGATTTTGTAGTTAGTGTATTCGTTTACCGATGGCTTTTAATTACATAAATACACTAATTTATACCTCTCGTTTAAACACAATATTCACAGTTTATAGCTTACAATTGCATAAAAACTTGTTTTCTACGGAAAGAGTTGGTAAATGTATACTGATTATACTGATTGATTTCAACCAATTACAATAACATAGTTAGTTACACGTGAAATTATTTGAATTTGCATGGTAGTTAAATATGTCAAAGCTTCAAAAAGGCATACACAATTAGTAATGATTTATGATTAAAAAAGTTCTACCTTTGTTACAAACAGCGACAACAACAGAAACAAATCTCTGAATTTACTATATTTAAGAGGATATCCATACTAAAACAAATCCACTTCATAAGTAAGCTTGCTTGGAGCTAGTCTAAAGTTATTGGCAGTCAGTCCCAAGCTTAGACTAAACAGGACGGTTAGGCATAGGAGTTAGTGATCCCATCTTGAAGAAAACCGACTCATTAAATTAGCGCTAACCAGAACAAATAATTCAGAGCATTTAAACTCTATCTAGGCAGTCGGAAGATCTTCACATGATGAAAGCCCAGTTTCTTCGGAAGTCACGAGGCCGATGCTCCTTCTCACAACCAAAACAATAATTATTATAAGTACATGGAATGTTCGCACAATCTGAGACCGGAAAAATCATTCAAGTTACTACGGAGATGAAAAGATAAAACCTCATGGTGCGTGGAATAACTGAAACCCGTTAAATGTAAACTGCACTAATGTCGATACGGTTCTACTGTATGGGGCGGAAACTTGGAGAACTACGAAAGTCATTATTTGGAAGATACAGGGATTGATTAACAGTTGTCTATGCAAAATACTTCCAATTCGCTGGTCAGACACGATCAATAACAGTCTCCTGTGGGAGAGAACAGACTACATTCCAGCGCAGGAGGAAATCAGGAAGAATCGTTGGAAGCAGATAGGACACACATTGCGAAAATCACCCAACTGCTTCACGGGCAAGCACTCGTCTGGAACCTTTATGGCCAAAGGAAAAGAACAGGCCAAGGAACGCACTGAGCCGAGAATCAGACACAAACATTGAAAGAATGAACAGAGATTGGGTAGACCTGGAAAGGAAAGCCCAGAATAGAGTTAGTTGGAGAGTGCTGGTCGGCGACCTATGCTCCATTAGGGGTAACAGTCTGAAGGAAATAACGTAATGGTCAACGGCAGAATTAAAAATGCATACTTTATTTCAACCAGTTATGATGCATTCACTGAAACTGTAGCCCAGCAGTCAACCAATATTCAAGTGTGTATTTTCAAGCTGACTTCCCTCCGAACTGTACTTATCAACCCCCTAAGTATAAGGGATATCTATGGACTAGGGCATCGTTTTGTTATTTGACATGAAAAGTTTTCGGTTCGAAGCTAACTGGGACCTGGGTATATACAAGTGAACAAATATGCAGTACTACGAGACTGATGGTCTTATATTCCACTGACATCACCAAATAACAAGATATTACTGCAAATAATAAATAGAGCCGAAGTTGTCAGAAACAGATCACTTCAGTCCTCAAAAAAAGTGTGAGTTCTATAAAAAGTCGTCACTAATCTAAACTATTCCGAGGTTAACGTTTCCGACTTAAGAGAGGAAAATGCTTGTGGTCAAAAACAGTGCAGTACTTTAAATTGATCACTTAACCTGGAAATGAACAACTTTGAATGTTATATAAACACAATATAATACTTACCATAGCCATAGATTCTTTACTCTCTTTACTTGATGATACATCAATCGATCCAGGAGTTGAGTAAGTTTCTGTCATCGGTGTAACATTATGACAGATAGCTATGGCTAATACTGCATCAGCCATACGTTCATTAGTTGTCCGACGAACTTGACGAGTCAATGGATCTGACAAACTGCCAGCTGTAGAACCGGTAGTAAAGTGGTTACGCAATCCTTGGACAACTTCTTCCATGGAATCCGATGCAAAAGCTACACTACCCAAGTGTAATTTTTTAAAAATCATTTCATTTTGTGTAAGTGTACCAGTTTTGTCTGACATTAAATAACAAATACGTCCCAATTCTTCCGGTATATTAGTATTACGAACAAGGCAGTTTGGTAAGGCTCTATCACGCATTATCATAAAAGAGTATACAATTTTTGCCAAATCCAAATTGACACGCAGTCTGAGGAGAAGAAGATTAGAAATTCAACAATAATAACAGTGGATTTTACACAGAAAGATAAGCTTAGTATATCTGTTTCGAAGCCCCAAAGTATCCCTCACAGAAGTCTATCGAGGCGAAGAATGACAAGGAACGATTTATCCAATCAGTATGGAATATCTGGAAAATGCGGGACCATGTGTCACCATTTCGACTGGATATCTAGCCACGTGGTTACTATATTTAATATGGCCTTCAAACCTTACATAAGCCGAGGGTTACTAGTAATTCTAAGAACGTCCTAATATTTCTGTACATAAACTAAGCTTGAAGTAGTACTCTTGTATTTCGCGCCTTTTCTCTTGTGTTCAAGCTGAGGTGTCGATTTAGTCCGAGATTGTTAGAAACGGATCGGAATTCAGATCATGCTTTTATCTACCATACTACTTATCCATGTTACTACTATTCAAGAGCTATTTTCGATAAAATTCGAGTTACTACTCAACGAGACTTAAATGTTGATCCCTGCAATGTTTGAATCCGTAGACTTCGACATCTTATGGGCAGGAACAATCAGCAGAGCTACCTAAGCAAGGGTATATATACATAACGACCTAACTATAACATCTGGTGAGTAAAGTTAAAATTTTTAAAGGCATTCACAGAAAAAGATCTGTTCAACACAAAAGTTCAAGAGATTTGAACCAGTTTTGCAGTTGAGGTAAGTATATGATAATCAGAAGAAAAAAACAACCCTCAATGAATATAAATATGTTTGACCTATTATTTATAATGTTAATTGAACTGAAAAATTACTCTGCTTTACACTGTTTTTAACATTTAAACTTGTATTACCATATTTCAGCTATTTATTTACACCCTCTCAAGAAATGACTTGTATGAATGAAGTCATGAAACACCAAAAAAAAGATTTCTATTTATAGGGATGATATTTATTTTCTTATTATAATTACTATGGTTAGTATTATTGGTCTAAACTAAGGTTTCGCAATATCAAAAAATACAGTATTCTATTGGATTACATTTGAGAAACCTAGAAAAAAATGTATATAGGGTGATGGATATTCAAAAGATTAGAATTTAAAAGAAGACAAACAATGGATGCAACTGCGCCATTGCAAACGATTCTGAGCCATGTCATTCAGGGTCATTCAAGGTTCACCATTTCATCAATTGATCTGCCATCATTACCTAGTGCCAGTTCCGTTACAACAGCATTGCTTACCGAATTGTCCCAGGATATACGAGCAATCGTATGATCGAACGCTAGTAACATACGAATATCCTCTACTCTTACCGGCCATCTCCCACAACCATGAAGTAGGACAAAGCGAACTGCTGTGCAGTACACTCGTCCTTTGTTTAGCAGAAGGATATCTCGCCTACACCATAAACGATGCAAGTTGGCAAAAGCCAATCGGATTTTCGGTATCTGTGCTCAGACTCCGTCAGACACCAGACTATCAGAACTGATGAGACTGCCGAGATAAGTGAAGCGGCCGATACGCCCAACTGCTTCACTGTCCATCACTAGTTCAGATGCCGATGCATACCAATCATGAATCAACATTTTGCGTTTCGACGGAGAGAATCGCATCCCGAACATGCTTGCATTGTTGCTTAAGGTGTTCAGAAGACTCTGCATTTTGTCAGCGTCTTCACCAAGTAGGTATATTTCAAGTTAACAAGACAGTCTCTTGGTAAAAGTTCCACTTCTTGAGAAACGTGAAAGGGAAAGAGGATTAGTATTGATCTTAGTGATCTGGGAGCCTGAACTTAGAGCTCAGGGGACAACCAGTTGGCGTCAGTTCCGCTCTTCATAAGGACCCACCACTGTGGGGTAAGGTGAAGGTGACATCTTTAGGAACGGCCTTTTCTAACCCCTTCCGTCTGTTGTGAGAAGGCAGCATCAATGCAGATGATAGTTATATCAGGGGATTAATTTCCTTAATGCTGTCACAGCCCTCTACAGTCAGTAGTACGACTTCGGTCTCAGACCTTGAGTTGTTGCTTTTAGTCTTACCGTTCTACAAACGACTGGTCAGGCACGTTAGGATATAAAAGAACATATGTTCCAACCAATATGGCTCGGTTGAATCAGCACAACAGACAAGCTCGACCATCAGCAATGGTCGGGTCCTTCAAGTCACATATACAACATTTGTCGGGATATAAGTCTATTTTTGATCGGGTCCAAATTATTGGCTTTCATTATACTTTGTAGAATGTTCGAAACCCATGAACGATTGACTGGTGGGTGGCAGGCTAGTTTTCGTTCTGGTTGAGGATGCAGAGACCAAACCTTCGCCCCCTGCTAAATGTCGGAATACTGCCGCATTCATTTCAGGCTAACAATCGATCTCAGTCAGTCAGTCAGTTACAACGCAGAACTTCGTACGTAAGTACATCAGTTCAAGTTGCCATACTTACGAAACACATCAACAATCAATGTGTTACTTAAAATCAAGATTGCCTTCGATTTGCTGAACAGGACTGTTCTCTGGGATTGTATTGAAGAAGGGTATGCCTGAGAAGTTTATTGATAACCTAAAGGCCCTATATACAAACACCTTAGGAAAAGTGAGGACACATAACCTCCCTCTCTATTGCTTCACTGAAGCAGTCGGGTTAGGTTGGTTTTCCCAATCTCACCATCCCTCTCCAACTTTACCATCGATGATGTTCTGGAGACAGCTAAGATGGGCGTACGTGGTGATGGTGTGAATCTGTTGCCTGGAGAAAGACTTTTCAACCTACAATATGTGGATGATATTGTCTTACTGTGCAAATATTCTCAAGCCATGCAATCTGCACTTAATCAGTTGGCGATCCGTATCCACAGGTATGACATGTGCCTCACACCTTCTAAAGGAAAAGTACTTCCACAAGACTGGTGTGATCCTGATCTAGCACTCTCTGTAGCGAGTTGATAGAAGTAATCGAGACGTTTATGTGTCTGCGTAGCTGTATAAGTGCTGGCGATGGTATGAGTGATGAGATCGGTTCACATACAGTGAAAATCAGAGCACCTTATGCCAATGTGGGTCATATTTCCTGCCTTCATGATGGTAGTCTGGCTATATAAGGTCAGGTCTACAATGCGTCAGTGAGAGAAAGTTTGCTATATACTTGTGAAAACTGGCCTTTTTGAGTTGAGAATGTTAAGCGACTGTGTTTGATCATTGTCGTCTCCAAAGGATTGATGATACAGTTGTAACACCCGGTTATTCATGCAAATGTTCAGCAACGTGTGTTTGGGTACAACTATGATAATTTACTTGGCATTATCATCTTGAAACAACGACTTTGGTGGCTTTGACATGTACTACGAATATCGTCCCAGCGAATCCTGTATCGCATACTATTTGCGAAGGCTGGGACTGCTTAGAAAAAGCGGGGAAGTGATCAGTGTATGATATGGCATCGCAGCATGAAAGAAAGCTGTACAGGACTGGCATCTGTTAGTCCTTCACGACTCCCTGGTTGGGGTGGCTTGAGACGTAATTAGACATGGTTCAGAACAGGAGCCAGTGGCAGTCCTGCTGTATCTTTCGACTCATTTCTACATATCAGTGAAAGAATTTTCTCTGGTTGTATTTTTTTGATTGAACCACTTCCACTATTATTATCATTATCATTATTATTGTTCCCATACAAAGTTAATGCAAGTACAGAATGTTTATCCCAATAAAAATTGGAAAATAACTTACGCCAAAGGAATGATATACGAGAATAGGACGATAAAACGCCACCAATATTTATACCAAGATCCACTGAAACCTTTCAGTGAAACCATAATTAGAGCTAGGATGACTAGAATACAGAATAAGAGTTTTGTGATGTTGTTTATCTCTTGATCAATTTTGCCACGTTTTGTACGTACTCTGCTAGAATTCATCACTGCACGTGTTTCCGATCCTGTGTATATAACTAAACCAATAGCACTTCCAGTAGCTAGTACAGTGTTAGACCAAAGTGTATGATCAACATTTAATGAAACTTCTGACGCTTCAGAATCTGTTGGTGAGGTAGGATCGACATCTGTACGAACAAATGTTCCTTCAAAATTATGAATATTTTGTCTCGGTGCTTCAGCATAAACTTGAGCCTGAATGGTACACAAGAAATAGAAAATATGAAGAATACAGGATATCTACGTATAAGTTGAAAAACAGATAAAAATTCAAGAAATCGACTTTATGAGTGAAGAAGACGAATTCAACACATGCTAATTTTTCGTTAAGTAAAATAATTGGTGACAGACAAAGTCTGTCATAGACTAACTTTTTAGGAACTACTACTAGGATGCAGTTCTATTATGTATAAATCAAAGGTCGAAATATTTTTCCGTAGCACTCTTAATTTCATATTTATCAAATTCTTAACGCTGATCAAGAATTATCAATAACTAGTAGTTTTTCACTATCGACTACTCAATATGAACGATTGGTTATCCCTGAATTAGATCTGAGAAATACAAAAAAAGGTGATACTGACCGTTGAGGTGCTATATGTAATCCAATAATTTTTCCTGCAGAGAAACTTAGTGGGTTTGGAAGTCTGGTAAGAAATTACGTACAAGTAATGTATACGTATTATATCACCTATTCTATGAGGACAAACCATTAAATGGCTATGAAATAATGATTCACATCATAGTAGAGAGTCGTTTTTTGTGAATGACTGTAAATAAATACAAATTCCTGTCATATTTATAATACAACGATGACGTCAGAAAAGTAAACAGCTACACAAAATTACTATACAAGCAACGAACTAATTGACAGTTCAAATAACTCCCCACTCATCTGGATTATGCAATACTCTGATTACGCCACGCACTTTGACGTTCGGGCACCTCTCTGAGAACGACTTAAGTATATCAATCTAATTAACTAATGAATAAGACCCAAATGAAGATAACTCTAACCTTTGCTACTGATCAAACTTCCCTAACAGCATGACAAATAATGGACTGTAATCTGTTTTGTCGTAATAAGACAAGTGAGATCATAACAGAATACACACTTATACTTGGCATTACTTACACCTGTTATTCCTAATGGAGCATAGGTCACCGACCAGCATTCTCAACCTACTCTATCCTGGGTCTTCTTTACACTTGGTATAAATCAGTATGAACAAAAGTATAAGCTTACTCCGCTAGCAAAAAACACTTCTAACTAATTATTAAAAAAGCAGAAATAAAAAGCTTCACAGCCAAAACATCCAGCTCAAAGAACGAAACACCACTACACTCATCCACCTAAGCTACAAATTTTCTCCACCATCTCAGTTAACTGACATTTTGTGTAGGAGTGAGTTATGGGGCATTCAAAAGTATGAAAGCATCATTCTAATATCAGTTTGGTTGTGCAAATTAGTTAAATCTTTGTTTTATTCCTGCACTTATAAACACTCTCCATTTCAAATGATAACCTTGCACAAAAGCAGACAATACACTTACTTCCATATCCCATAGTGAACTTGGATCACCAGCACGATTGACAAAAGCGTGTGTAGTTGGTATAGCATAACGTAGTTTCCAGTCAGTTTCACCGTCAAGCTGATCCGTTCGTATGAAACAAGAACCATTTCGATCTGATGTCCATACTAAGATCATATCTGCTGGAACTCGTTGATTTTTCTCTAGATGAATAAGATCACCAACCTGTTATAAGCAAAAACTGAATATTAACTGTGGAATACTGAAGTAAGAGAACAAGTATTCGATACACTAAAACGAACTAATCGAATGATACCAGAGTAATTCGGCAGTGCACACAAAACAAATACGTTTTGATATTTTAAAAAAATGTTAAATGAAATTCGTACAGAATTGTTAGTTAAAAAAATTGTAAGAATGCTTGCTGTGATATAGATGTGACCCACCGAAATAAACAGGATGGGTTTGCAGATGCATGGAACGTCAAGAAACCTTATGGTTTCCAAGTAGACTATTGAGCAAAAAGGCAATTGATTCTATTCGCTACTTTTAGGATGCCTGAGAAAACAACCAATACTTATCTACACTTTATAGTGGGTCGAGATCTAATGTTGAACCTAACTTGTTTCGAAATTTAAATGTAATAGGTGGTACACCCAACTCACAACTATTTGTTTACGATGATGAACCTATGTCTTCAGTAGACAACCGCAATAAAATCACTCGAATCCGCATCTGAATTACGGAGAAAACGTCGAGTAGGACAGTGAAGATGTCAATATAGGTAAAAAAAAATAGGGCGCAATTAGCACAAGGTTGAAAACAATCCCAGTTATTCGACCTGAGAACAGGAAGTAAAAACTAGAAAAACAATATTTGCCAGGTGCGTCTTGCTGGAAATTCTAATTTATAATAGAATTCATCCTTTACCTTATCCAGGTAGCCCTCTAAATCTAAAGGTATGAAAACGGAGATTAGGAAAAAACATTTCTCAAATCGGCTTCTTCGGACTCTGACTGAACTATCCGACCTAAAAACACACAAACAATTGCTAAACTGAACACAACCAAATGCTGTTTACACGCTGTTAAGGTTGAACAACGAAGTCAGAGGGTTTATAGATAAGCGCACAGAGTATTTATTTTTAAATTGATAAATGGAATATGATAGATGAAACAGAAAGATCTGGTGTATGTTGATAGCTAGACGTTGTACAATTTAAGCAAACGCTGTCTGTTACCCGTTATATATCAAAGTGCAGACAACTAGGGCAGGACGTTTAAACGTTACATACCTTTTTAGCACAAATATATCAGATAACATACACAGTGAGAGGTTTCACGAAGTAAACACTCAATGAAATAAGACTGTTTGGACTTGACAGCATTTTCAACATAGGCTATCTGTTGAACAAACTCAACACTAAAACTGGTGTAGAAATAAGTAAAACCCACATGGAAATAAGATTGAGTAGTGAGTTAGTGATAAGAAATAAATGTACTGATAATAAACTAGTCATAAGTTTTATGATTAGTGAATCCTAATGCCAAAAATGAGTACTTTATTACCCTCATTCATAATTATTAGTTTTATCAGGGATTTGGTACTAGGTACTCAAACCGAAACTGAGTTTCCTTAAAATTCAAAACTCTTCAAATAAAGCGTCGACTAAATGGTTTGATTAACAGAACAGTGGAGCAATATCAAGAAACGTAATCCCGGGGTATCTAGTAACCAAAACAGTTTCGTGCATCATTTTTCTTCATAGGACCCTCCGGTTCTTGTGCACCACTGTTTCGAAGTCAGGATTCCTCAACTCGGCCAGATTGACTTACTGTATTGAAGTACCTAGTATGATTATTAAACAACGGTCTTTAACTTTCTTTTAGCGACAACCCGCCAAGCAAAGACAATGAGTAGGGCTCCCCAAAAGGCGGCATCTTGATTAGTGTGCGTCAAGCAAGTCACTTATATTACTAACAGCTATATATACGACGGATGATTATGAAAAGTCGGTTCACGGCATTATTTCACTTAAAATTACAAGTGTTTCAATTGGCATAATTCAATAAAACTCAAACGTACTGTATGGACAAAACAATTCAGAAGACTTACTTTGATATCAGAACTCATAACAGCAACCTCCTTGTTGCGGACATATTTTCCATAGATAGCCATATTGACATCTCGATCACGAGACCACCTGCCAATATCATCCACCGCTTCTCGAATCAGTGTTACAGCGATTACAAAACCCAGTGGCCCCCAATATGTATACAGCCGACCCACACCAAGTTCAGGAATAAATTGACTACATGCAATTACGAGGAAGACGAGATTTAAAAATACACTGAACTGTTCAAAAAGAACCTAGGAAGTGCAAACCAATAAAAAAGATTACTTCATTATAAACAGTTAGTTGAAACACAAAAACCATATACGTAACTAACTATAAATCTGTAACTACGTTATATGATAATTAAATGTATAACAATCAAACTTTCTGATATGAACAACAAATAATTTGTCAGGATATCCTCAACCACTGGAAGCCGTCCAGTGCTTCCAGGTTTCTAATGGTGGTCTAACATTGATCGATTCATGGTTTCAAAAATGTGTGACTTAGTAATTTGGCGCACATGAAACCTTACAAAAACCCGTGTTTCCTAAATGATTCAGAACCGAGTTACGTAGCCTTAGCTTTGGGATGATTCCTAACGAGTTTGTGTGACTCTGTCGACTACCTGGTGGGGGTCCGAGAGATGATAATAATCGATGGTTAGAGACCTTGAATGACATGGCTCAAAATCGTTCGCAATGGCGCCAGTGCATTTATTCTTTGTGTTCTCTGAAATCCTAATCTTCTGGGTTCTTCAACACATCTAGCTTTTACTTTCTAAACTTATCTCATTGAATCATACTTCGTGAATAATATCTTCTAATTCTAACCTCTCCGATTACTTCTACTATTGGATTTGAATTGACAATTATATCTCTGTGCTGATGTGGTATGGCGACGTGAACTGATGTACTTACGTACGAAGTTCTACGTTGCAACTGACTGACTGACTGACTGTGTGACTCTGTACGTCTCCAAGTAGAAAATTAACTGGTTCACAATAGTTATTAGGTATTTCTATCTACGATGTTTTAGAGTGCAGCAACCGAAATAAAGACTGATTAAACAGGGTTAACATGGTTTATTTAGTCCAACCAAAATCGTGGAATAATTACTCGAACTACTATTTATCGATTAATACTTCTACATAAAAAAATAACCGTAAAAGATACAGCTAAGGGTCTTGATTAGAAAACACAGCATAAAAACTCACTAATGAAATTCAATGAGTGGTTTTCACATTGTGTACTATATTATCATCTTTTTTCCCCTAACCTAATTTGTCTAACTGAAATTTTAGTTTTTCATACATAGTGTCTTAAAAAGTATCTGCGTGATCAAATTGTTCGGAATGTATTGCGTAAATATGTCACACAATTCGGATAACTTCCGCTTTCCATAGCATTCCCTCGAAAGGGCTGCATTAAAAACAATTAGTGGTAAGAAAAATAGACAGTACGTCCAAACTTGGTTCATAATGGTATCGCTGAACATGGTTCCTAACGAAACCAACAGACCACCAATGCTCTTTATTTAAATAATATAAGTACAGATCAATATACTAAACTTCGATTTGCTTTAAGTGAGGTTCCACTAGACTTCCTAACCTGAAGTAAATGGTGTAGGGTTTATATCTGAAATCTACAGGTTGACAGCCAAATGGTTTTACAATTAGGCCACTGCTCAATACACCTATTGTCTGCAGTATGACTTTATTGAGGACATAACACTTGAAAGACTACCTTTGTTATTTCCAAATTAGTGGTGTACCTAGGCCCCATTGAAATACAGACCGACCTAGTTAAGTGGTAATTACTGGAATGTAGATACGCGATGCTTTTCTGTTATGTTAAACAGAGCTATTACCAAAGGCTTGATGAACACTTATCTAAAATGCAGTCAACAATTTCAGAACGTAACTGTACAACAATGGTCATACGTGAATTAAATTAATCATTTAAAGCGCCTAGTTGAGATGTAGTTAATCTGGAACTCGAAGACAATAAAAACCTTGTGAATCACATAATCTTGGGTAAATAACTAAGCATTTCCCTCAAATGAACAAAAATAGACCGAAGACATCATGGGAATATGAAAGCTGATGCAGGTTACAAGACCGCTGTCACCTGATAACAGGTTGGTAGGTCGAAAACAACTACGACTGTCTTAACCGTAAAACCTAAGGCTTAAGGAATTTACTATGCTACTTACCAGAGGAATGAAACTTATTACGCTGTATTTTTGATTATTGATCCGATTTGAAGGAAATTTCTGAGTTTTTGATGGTCTGCCAACATTAACCACACGAGCGTGATAAATTTTCGGACCTCGACAATTTCGACAACAATCCATACAACTGAAATTATATAAAAAATTGCTAAGTAATCAATTAAATGTAGCATAATGATGATAGATAAGTGGCTAGAACTGTTATAAGACTGAATCACATTGAATGGTTATGAATCACACGAAATGATATATAAACATCAACAAATAGCTCCAGTATATCTGATGCTTGGTGAGTGTCTGGAATGAATAGGCATCGTCCCGAGTCAGTAAGCAGACTCAAATGTAGCCATGAAAATACTTTGAACTCTGAAATGAACATCGAATCAATACATTATGATCCAAACCTGAGCTGTTAGTCTAGTTGTTTTATCCATCACCCATTTGACTGGAATGAAAATACACTACAAATAGTTGCATGGAACGAACAACCACACACTAAATCTACTTAGTGAGAACATTAGATTTACGTCCTAAACCTTGATGGGGAATTAATGATCATCGGTGCATAAAAAATTTAGGGCGAATAAAAGCTACTCTTGAATTGTGGCTTTTGTGTATTTTCCAGGGTGATAGTATCAAAACTGATCTCGAACGACAGGAACATCTGTTAACGTTTCAGAACGCATCTATCAAATTAGAGCGATGACGAGGTATGAGAAAGCTTGCATTCAAGCTACTTAAGATTACTTATCGTAATGGTAGGAAGTAAAAAATGAGAACCGCATTAAGGCGGTAGGAAAACTTTTTGACACGTTTGAAGCTTTTTAACAAACTCTTTGGCTTAAAATACTCCAAAAGGCAATACTAATCTCAACACACAAAACATCTGGAATTATAAACTATAGCGTCAGTTCTGCTTTTAAGCCCAAACAAACCATAAAGGGGAAATTTCGAGGAAAATCGATGTGAATACGGGAGGCGATAGGCCAGATTTTCACTTTTCCCAAAGCCCAGGGTAAAAAGTGAGAACTTAACCCAAAAATTTCGAGGACTGTATCAAGATTAACACTTTTAGCTTCCCTTAAATCTCTACTTTTTTCCACAATCCAAACTGAATTTTATTTTTTTAAGTACCCAAGTAGATTTGATGGATCATTTAGCTCATGACTTATAACTTATGAATAACGTCTATACTCTCTAGCCTCTGATCATACTACAAGTAGCCGTCATAATTACGACGAGCAATTTATATTACAACTACTACAAAAGTGAACCATGTAGAATGTTGAGGCACAAGAGTAAGTGAGGGTCATCACAATAATTGTAAGCTAACCTTGGAGAACAAGCAGAACATATATTATGCCGCTCAGACTCGCTTTCTGAATCCAATAAGTTATCTGACGAACCAGTTGCCATAGAAAACCTACACTCGAGAGGAAATACCCGCCGCTACTAATTCAATCTGCTCAATGTGCATCCTGTGAGCAGCTGAAGACTTTCTGATTTACCTATTCTTACTTTTAGATGTAACATAGCATTCCTCCAATAGCTTCTGGTGAATTAAACGGTAACCAGGCAAACTTCCTCTTCATAACTAACCATACATGTCCGTCACTTAAGGTCAATGTGGGGCCCAAAGCGTATGTGCATTAGCAAAAGCTGTCGTACAAGCTTCATACCACGAGATGAAATCGGTAGGATCAACAGTGAAGGAGTTAGTACGATGCATTGGCAGCAACAATACAAAAGGTTAAGCATAAAGATGTTCGAAAAGACAATGCATTTGTACGAAGAAAAACTTATGACATAGGGAAAAATAAAGAGTTGATTCATCTCTGCAGCTGTAGCCTATTGAGAGCCATTTTATTGAAAATCTGCAATTTTTAGCCAGGTCTATCATGCAGAAAGCAACCAGTTGGTCTGCATCTACCTACATGGCCTAGTCCAATTTTAAATGACTCCATGATTTTGTCGGTGCAGGATTTTCAATTGCAGAAAAGTTAAACAGACAATTAACAGTTAAGCTCTTTTATTACACTAGGTATCCGTGGGAAAAAAACATTTTCATATTAAGTATGTGAGGACATCGTCAGCCGCAGATATCTTCAATTCGAAAAGTAAGTTCATCAAAATATCCTTTATATAATAAATCAGGTATCGGCCATTCGACGATGTACGTGTGGTAGATGGATTGTTCACCGCAACTAGTGACGGATGACTCACGACCGTTATTTGCCGAACTTCTTTGGTGATCGAAATCACTCACTGACTTACTTATGGTTGTTACCCCCCGACAGAGCATAGGCCGCCGACCAGTATTTTCCAAACTACTCTGTCCACGGCTTCCCTTTCCAGTAATGTTCAATTTGTGATCGTTCCTCTCGTTTCTGTCTGCATTTCTCGGCGTAATGTAGTAGTAAATCCACCTTTTTAAAGAGAACGCGATTGGTTTATTCGAAACATTTATTATTATGACTGACTGTACCGGTGATTATTTAACAGTACTTTTTATTTATATATACGCGAAGACTTCAGTTTGTGTTGTTGCAATTTTTGCTTCACCAACAGAGGTCCATTCCCTGTGATGGAACTTCTGTGGCTTTTTGTGATAGGAGCCCATGTTTTATCTGTTTGACAGATCGAATAGACAGCATTCGACTTAACTGCTGTCGGCAAGAGAATCACTGCACTTGATGTCCCAAAATTGGCGTCTATATGCGTTTAGGCAGATAATATTAAAAAGTTAGCTAGATGACCGTCCGAAACTTCTGCAGCACACACTCTTGAGATGGGAACGAAAGCACAGATTGAGTATGACCTTGGTAGTCGACCTTAGTGCTACTTTTTCTGTACAGGAAATTGGAAGAGCTAATCGCATGAAAGAACCTAATAAGGCAAAAGAACAGAAATGCGATTATATCAGTTTGTGGCATCAGATGCTTTTATAAAGATGATGCCAGCAGTCTTTAGATTGACAGCCGCAGAAATGTCTGATGTTACCGGAAGGTTATGTTACTTTGTGTGACACCGCCTTTCCTAGTCTCCTAGATTGAAGCGTAATTAATGGCGACAGCTCTGCCTTTAATAATGCTAATGGAACAAGTTTTTCGGGTGCCCACCAATTTTGAACAGAGTTCACATCATACGTAACGCTTCTCAGTGCCTCAGCGAAACATTATTTGATCATCACTTCTGTGAAATGTGTATACCAGTACGTTTTTACAGTTTCGAAAAGTAACTTTCATAAGAGACGTTGAACAATCGGCAGTGTGTTTGGTTTGTCATTATGATTTGTGGGTCAGTGACACTAAACAGGAAAATCTTACTTTATTCCATTATATTGAAAACAACTTATTGTCGAAAAAATGGACGTGACAGTTCCGATCGTACACTCAACTACACCAACTTCATAGAAGGCACACAAAAGAGTTCGGGGACGGTTAGTTTAAATGAAAATTGCCCTGTCATACTTCCAGTTTATCTATTTCCGTGAATTGGCTACTGGTTACACACCCTATAATACGAATTTTTCGATGAATTTTTTAAGGCGAGGGTTTTCCGCGACACACAAAGTATGTTAGATTTACGAATACGTGTAAGTCAGCCTACTAGTCAACTTAGGAAAAGATATATTTGCATACCCACCGAGTAAATAGTTATGATATCAAGATATACATTTTGAGTACGAAATCATCGTAAAGGGCTTATCATTTGTGCGGAATTCATAGAATGTGACCATTGTTTCTAGTTTAAAATGCAGTTACCATGTCAGCATTTGAACGCATACTCCAATGGGATGAAAAACTGCTAGCCGCACAAGCTTGTGCAAAAGACGGTGTCTAATGAGTACTTTTACGAAGGAATTACGTTGCAGGAAGTTCCTGGCACAGCTGATGTTTCGCAGCCAACGCCAATGGATGAGGTACTTGATTATTGTGGCGATCCAGTGCCAATTATTCTGACGGAGTGTTAACACGCAATACATCCGATGAACAGTTCCTATGCTTATATCTTCTGATCCTAGAGCCCTTCAACCCAGCTATAGTTTTACAGTTTGAGCGTTTTCGTAACAACGGCTGAAGTGAAAAATTAAGGAATAACGATTTCTCTCTCTGACACGCACACTTAGATAGCTTAGACTCCAGCAGCAGCCAAGATGGCATGGTAATAACGGAAATCGGAAAAACGGCTTTCTGAAGTTCCGCTGCTGCCCGATGACGCGCTAGATGGTAATGAGAATGATGCCAGTGTGGGGAGTCAACCGTTAAGGAAATAGTTCTAAATAATAGACTTGGTGCTGAACAGTAAATGTTCAATACATGACAAACCAAACTGCATGCAAACGATTTATAAGGACACCGTAGAGATGTTCACGAGCCCAGGTTAATTACTTTTCTACTGACTCTCAGCTTTCTCATCGAGTTGTCAACAAATGGAACACGCTACCTCAACACTTGATTGAAGATCCATCAGTCGACACGCCGAAAGGAATGATGGATCAACTGAGTCCACCATTGTCAGGATAAGCACAGACCACCGTGAATCCTGTCCTATTCGAATCAAAACTGGTGACCTCTTCAGCTACTGATAGCAATTAAATATTAGGTACTTCCAACAAGACTATGTTTAGTGTTGTGATCAAACACTTTAACCTTCAAAGTAGATGAATGTATTTCTTTATTTCCTAAAACTTGAAATAATGACAACGATCAAAACAGTCATAATAATACTGGCAATAATATTCCTCTTAACTTTACTACCAAAAACTATCATATTCGTTCAGGACTGACTATTTTAATGAGTTACGTTTAAATTATGGCATTTAAATGGATGTATGTATTCAGTTTATCGCAGTCAGGTTAACACTAATTGTCTATTCATTGGCGATTGTTATTTTCATATAAAAGTAAACCTGTTGCCGTTTGTCCTAACGAAAACCATTAGCACCATCTTACCTCACCGTTCAACTATAGCGTGATGGCATTTGTACAGCAACTCGTTTTACGTAATAATGATAATATTTATTTCCCATATATTACTTTGTCCCTTGAAGCAAGCCTGTTCACTTGCGAGATTAGATTGCCAATAATGCTGCCACATACACAGTAAAAGTTTGCGCAGTTAGATTACCTATAATGATCTGTTTCTCACAGCAAGTTTACGCCATATCATTGACAGGAACTATTTGAAACAGTTGCATTTTAAGAGAACCACAGAATCATTATATTATTTATTTTACTCGAGACTCTATATCTCATAACCTACTGAGAAGCCATATTTCTGCAAATTCCATTCTACAGGCTTGTTAGGCTGTCAAAACTGATGGCCTATGGATTAGGTATCAGTGCAATTCAGTTAAGTGCTATGGGTTTCTAATGATACTATAAGTTTTACGGACGTAGTGAAGGAAAGATGTGTAATGAAGTTAATGGGAAAGTTTAGGAGTATTACGGTTATATACGGGGTAGTGGACAGCGAGATGGAATAAATGGCAAGCCAATGGAGCGCATTCGAGAACAGTGAAACTGACGACAGCTAAAAGCAACCCACAAAATTATGGGTGCTGAGAAAGTTTTGTCCAATCGAAACTGGGTGATGGCTTTTCAGGCTGTGGATGCATGATCACTAGAGGTTAAGCAGCAAATGATGATGTTTAATATTTCCAGCCAACTAGAAGAATTTAATACTACCTCAGAGAAGGGGAAGGAAATTATAAAATGGAGCTTTGAACTCGATAAGGTTTAAACGTGTACAGATCAAGTAGTGGTGAAACAGGGCACGAGTGAGTTACCGATTGCAGAGGAATCTGCGCAGCTGAGAGCTTCGTTAAGAATCCTTATGAACTCATGTAGTGTATCTGTCGTGCGCACTTTCCAGGGAAGACTAATTCCATGTCGCAGCATACTTAGCGAGCAAGAAGTTTTTCCGAATTCCGTTTTGCATTTCTTAGGTTTGTTCGTTCAAACTTTATCACGTACTCACATACGGATATTCTTCTGTCACTCGAACCAACTGCGCCTGATGCTTGTTTTGTAACCAATCTGCTGCTGTAACTATGACAGATCATCAGCTTGTCTCCTGATCCCAGCTGTGGCTGAAACTCGGTTAGTCCAGGACTTTGATGTTATTCCGGAAGTATCGGCATTCAACAACCTAAGTGATAGGGATAGAAGCAAGAAGGAGTGTGAGGTAATAAGACATATGATTAACAATAAAAATATCGTTCCTTGGCTGGTAAATCTCACTAAAATAGGACTTCCGAAGTCACTTGCTATGAAATCTTTTCAATAGGTTTCACATATATACATATATAACCATGTTATTGATATTGTTCTCTTGAAATAGCACGATTAGGCCAATTCACCGACATGGACGTTTTGGTACAGTTATGTTTTCAACGATCGATTTCAAATAGGGTGGTTTTACGGCAGTGTTCTTAGGTAGTATT